GAAAAGTCTGAAACAGTAAATAAAATTTATTTAATGAGAAATTACTTTTTAAAAACAGGAAGGACTACAAAAAAAAACTCAGCAGTGGGAAAAGGCACCAAAGAAACCAAGTGGTGAAACACAAAGAGATTGATGCCTAGATGTGCTTCTGTTTTCTAGATGGCAGCAATGAACCATGGATGAGAAGCAGTGTGCATAAACCAGCTTCAATGTTCCAAATGAAACTCTGGAGTAAAGACGTTCCTGTGACAAACAGAAAACCTGGGCCATGACCAAGGCTTGATGTGGGTTTTATTTTTTTTTTTTAATTATTTTTGTGTGAGTGTACCGTCAAATCAGATCTGACTGGTCCAGGAGGAGACTGTCCCTCCTTTCCCAGCAGAGCATCTGGTGGATTCAAACCATGCACCTCTGGGATTGTAGTTGCAGCTCCTTGCCACTAGGCCACCAGAGCTTGATGTGTTTTAAATTGTTGTTCTAGGATACAAATGATTCCTGGTATTAAGTTGCTCTAGGTCTCAAAAAACTGCCTCAGAGACAAATGGTAGGGTCAGGACACGAGGACAACTAAAGTTGTTGAGTGTCCAGGTAGCCTTTTAGTTTCAAAAGACTGAAAGCTCGAGGTGAGAAAAGGCAAAAGCTAAACATGATTCATGAGTGCTGGCTGCCAACTCAGAAGAGAGTGGCATGGCTAGGTTTCAGTTAATGTCATTCACCTCACTGACAGAGTTCAGTACAGAATGAAAAGATGGCATGCAGGTGTGTCTGTCTTGGGACATACTTGGGTTTGCCTGGGTTTATAAATGGAAGATTTTAGCATCAGAGGGAAGACACTGGGTTAAGTTTTATTAAGTGACAAACTATTTTAGCTAATGATAGAATAAAGGTATTTGATAAAGGTTGTGTATTCCCACCTCTGGGATATAGAATTTTTTTTCTCCCATTAAATGGGGATTTTGACTTTAAAACTATCATCTTCCTACATAAGTTCAGTAAAATATTAAGTACCTTAAAAATCATCATCTATTACTCTTCCAAAGATAGAGACGGAGACAAACTTTATTTATAGTAACGTGAAGTAAAACCACATACAAATCTAAGGCCCAAAAAACTGTTTTATATCCTATCCCACTGTCTTCATGACTTTTCCAATTACTAGCAACCCTCCAACAAGCTTTTGTGGCTGAAATCTTAACAGGCACCAATGCCCTCAGTGACTTCTCCCCTGGAGTGGGTAGGAGATTCAAAATGTTGACTTGCAGATTAGCAGCCCAACATATAAATTCACGATGCCATAGAGTAAACCTGAGAGGATTAGCCTTCTCAACCCAATGTTCTTTACAATAGAGTTTTGTTGTTGTTGGGTTTTTAAAATTTGGATAGGCATCCTTATCTGTATGGCTCTGGGTTCCAAATACAAGGTTCACCAACTTCAACTACCCTAAGGTTTTGCTGTGCTACTTCCCCCCTAAACAAGACAACTTGGATCCCTAAGACAGAATCGAGGAAAGACTTACCTAGTTATGAAATTTCATGGAATTTTACTCAATTAAACCATCTTCTTTCTACCAAAAGTAGCTATTATGTTTTGAGTTTCCAATTAAAGTGTGAACTTTCTATGGAGATGTTCTGGATTTTCCATTTATTACCCATTATAATGTCAAAGTCCCAAGAAATGTAATTTTCACAAATATCATAACACATGTATCACCCCTTAAGTGTGTATAGGAAACCAATGAACAAGGGGATTGCAAGGCTTGCAAAAATCATATAACATACATACTATTTGTGCAGATATCCAGTAATTGATCTAAACAGAAAGAATCCCATACAATTTTTAAAAATAAATTATTTTCAAAGAATGGTAAAGTCTTTTTCAAAGGCAAAATACTTCCTCCAAGATGATCACCAGAATTTTTCTTCCCTCTTTCCACCAACTGTCCTTCTCATACACCAAGTCACATACTTCATGAAAATGTGCTTGATTATAATTTTACTGTGAACAAAGCCAAAACCCTTAGCATTCTCATTCTGTTCTTCATACCTGCATGACTTGATAACCTTGGCAAAGAGAAAAGTGTCATTTACATCCCTGAAGTAATTTGACATTTGAACTAGTTTTAAGCATTAGGAGGCTAAAGGAAAAAAAGTATTTTCATTTTTTGCAATTACTAGCTCACTGCAAAATGGTAACTGTTTTAAGAATCAAAGGTGTAGTCTTGCTTAAAATATATGAAATACTCAGGAGTCACTTTCCTCACTTCACGTTCTGTTGTTCTCAGCAATAATAAAAGGCTAACATATTTATCAAATTAAAACAGCTCCTATATGCTTTCTTTCTCTCCAGAATTATCAATACTCATCATTACATTTACCTTTACTAGGTTACTGATTTGTTCTGTTGTTGTACATAGGATTTTCAGAGGCCTGCTATTTCAGAAGTGTATGGCCAATGTAAGTGTTCAGATTTAGAGAAGTATCAGACAGACCAGCAAGTTAAAGGTATATCCCTTATTATGGAGTTAACCATTAGTGTCAGTGTTGTCCCTGCCTTTGTCACACGTGTCTTTACCCACTTATTTCCCTGCTCCACCATCCATCAGGATACCCATCCACTTCTACCCACTTCCTTTACATCTATCTCCCATTGACCAGCCCTTCATCTAATAACTTATATATGAAGCTTCCTTGGCTTCCGTGATTCCAAACACACCAGCTGCTGGTATGGTAATTCCAGTAGCCAGGAAATTAAAAGGCGTATTGCCATGGGAAAGTCTGCTGTTAGGGACCTCTCCAGAGTACTGAAGAGTAATGGTGTCTCCCCTGGAGACTAAGGTGCGTTTGATACAGGCCATGGTCTTCACAATC